GTAAAGAGTTGTTTTTGTGGAGTCCGTTATCTTTGTGCCTAAAGAATACTCTGCGAACTAAGAGTGGTTTATTGGAGGAAATACATTGATTATTCTTATCTTGTGCTTAACTTCGAAATAATCTTCAGTCCTTCTGATACCTGAAAAACTTCTTGTCCTGCTGCTGATGGTAAAGGGTGTGGTCCAGATTTATGATGAAACCCAGCCACATAGTCACTAGAAGTTATGACATATGTGTAAAAAAAATAACAAATTTTTTTTTTGTGGGGGGGGGGGGGGGACAAAAAAAATCTAATGAATAATTTACTGCTCAGTGTCATTGTAGTTTCCCACTGCATAAATATACTTTTATATTTAAATATCTTTCAGTATTTTTCATCTTGTAGTTCTTAATTCTGTTTACAGTTCAAATGCTGACTTCAGGAAAGACAATCGGTGCAAATGAGTTTACATCTGGGACCCCCAACCACAAGGCCAACGACCAATAAACAAAACAAAAAATACATAAATGTATTTAAAGCAAGCTGATGTATTTACAAGTTTTAGAAGCTGTGTGTCTCTACAGGAGACAGGAAAGTCTATATGTGATGCCTTGTGTACCGCTGTGCTGAGATGTAATCTGAGAAAATTGACCTCATTTTTGGGGATTCGTGGGTATGCGAGACGGTCACCATCAGCCGAGGAGAGGAAGACGAGGTCTCAAGTTGCAGTCGTTCTACAGCAACAACACAAGCTGTACAGGCAGCAGGGAACAAAACTGTGCTCAGCAAAAATGGACCCTGTCAAGTTAACTTTTGGGCTGTCAATTAAATTTGTGTTCTGGTCAAAATGATGATGTAGAATCAGAAAAAAACCCCTGCAGCTGGAAGCTAAAGATTGTGCCCATTGTTTGCTTTAGCATGAGTTAGGCATTAACTGAGTCCACTTACTAACATATTGATATGTTGTCTGGATAATGCACCTTAAACATGAGCACTTCAGATAATGTAAAGAATGTAACACATGGACCCATGCATGTCTGTTCTGACTAAAATGTTTGATTGTTTAATATCCATGAATTTCCTTCACTGCTCTGCGTTTTTAGGTATTCTGGCTTTAACTTTAACTTCCTGTCAGTGTTCTTACACTTAGGGTCATTTAGCAACACTGGTGTTTTGCCTGTTTACATAAGGTGTGGGACAGAAGGTAGGATTAAGGTAGTACTAGTTAGCAAACAGCATTGTCAAGGAAATCTCCAGAAATATTGCATTGGTCA